ACGTTATATTCTTTGAAAAAATCCAGTGGAAAATGTATCATGGCTTACATAAAAATATAAGTAATGTTTACTGAGCCTGAAATCAGCATATTAGAATGATTTCTGATGAATTATGTGGCACTAAACTGGAAAAAAATTCTACATTGCCATCACAGGAATAAATAACATTTTAAAATATATTAAAATAAAAAACAGCTGTTTTAAATTGTAATAATATTACACAATATTACTGTTTTACTGATTTATTGATTTTACTTATATTAGATCAAATAAATGCAGCCTTGGTGAAAATCTGACTGACCTCAAAAGTAGTATATGTCTTTAAAATTTATATTATTGGGTAGAAAACGACACGTGACAACATAAAAGATATTTATTTAATTTTATGTTGTCTTTATAATATAATGCTTCCTATTTTTCACAGGTACTATAAATACAAACATACTATTACTAGAATTTCACATCCACCCTAATTCTAAATAAATAATGTGTTTAAAAAAAAAACTATTTTAATTAAACAACATAAATAAATCAGGGGGTATCACTGTCTTCTCCAGTTATTTTGTTCAGTGGCAACACATACCTAAACTGGGGTAATAAAGATTAATTTGGGGCCCATCACAGCATCTCAATTGCTTGTGCCATCAAAGGCTGTAAAACTGTGATTCATGCACTTCAATCTAGCAACCATGCAGTCACTACTACACAATGCGGCCCCTAATAATAAGCCCTTTGTCAGCTGACTCTCAAATCACACTGAGAGCAAACAGGCGGTACTGGTTCCTCTTATAACTCGGGGCCTCTCTGCTTCCCAGAATGCACCAGCAGGCTGCTTCCCGAAGGACCACAATAGATGTGACCTAATGCTGACTGTGCTTAGATAGATGTGATGCAAATAAAACATTCACAAACCACTCATTTGGAAACAAGCTATTGATATGCAAAGCTCTATCAGAGGCTGAAATCAGCATACTTTGTGTGTTCTGTTCCCTTTAAAACATCGTAAATAGGCTGCAATAAAATTCAAATATGCTGTTCACGGAAAATAACCCTGAGAACACAATTCCTGGAGACTCCTAGTGTGCCCTACTAGGAATGATGAAAAGAAATGTGGACAGATTTCTTAGAAATGGTTCATTCACCTGTAGCGCTGTCTACTCCCTTGAACACGTACCTTGAAGTACAGAACGTTTCTTAAAGTCATTGAACTGTGTCAAGGTCTTAGCTCACTGATGTGATCAAAAATACAACATTTCGAGTGATTTAAAGAAAAAATGAGCACAGTAAGGAGGAAAATGACAAGGGCAAAGATCAGAAACACTGATTATTCTGTAAATTTAAAATTTGACCTTGAAATGTAAAGGTCACTGTGTGGTGTGTTCTTATGTACTCAGCATGTATCTTTGCGTTGTTGTACAGGTATGAGCGTAAAGCAATGAAAACTTGATGACAGCTTGGAAATGAGACGTTATCAGGCAGGATCCTGGCTTTCACCTTTCCTGTACTACTGACTTGTCTTGTGACTGGACACAAAGAACAATGGAGTAAGGAGGTGAGTAGAGGAAGGGGGAGGACAGAAATGAGGAAAGAGGAGGGAACGAGCAGGTCGTGGAGTATGTAAGGTCAGCAGAGTCAGGTTTCCTGGTTGAGCTGAAATCTGCTCTATAACCATTAACGCTAGTGACTCAGGCGTCCAGTTTGCTCCCACTGTTAACCACAGAGGTTACCAAAGAGGTCAAAAAGGTCAGTTCTCAATAATGCTATTTTTTTCTTTTTCTTTTTTTCTCGGATTGAAACATTATCATTGTCCAGGCAGAGGTTGTTGTCGAGTCTTTGACTTGGAAGCCACTTACACTTCAAAAGTCTGTGTGTTTATGCAAGTGTTCACACACTGAAGTGGTTAGGGGTGTAGTATTTTTAAGGTAACCTAGACCCTCAGAGTTGTAAGAGGATATACTCCTGCAGAAAGAATGGAATGGTGGTATTTTCACTGATTTATACCACAGTAGGAGTTTAGAAAGGTCCTGTTTTCCTTTCAACCATTTAGATCCACAATTTGTCCTGGTGATCAACAGAGGAAAAGAAGAAGGATCCACCTGTTCTCAGCTAGCAGATGAGGTGAAAGCATGCATGGTTATTTTATAGTTCACATTCTGTCATTGTTTGCTTACCCTCATGGCATTCCATACTGTAGTTTTTTATTTTTCCCTTAAATGAAACCATTAAAAGAAGTTATGCTTTTTATAGCTCTGTAAAAGGTATTCTGATAAATATACGGTAAAAAAAATTGCAGGTGTGGTTGCCATAAATTCACCGTAAAAATATTTAAAGTCTTACGGAATGGCATATTGGTGCCTGTAAATTTTACAGCTTATAGACGTATATTTATTAAGTGATAGTAATATCTACTTCAAGTACCAATATCATTAACATTTTATTGATAGCCACCATAATAATTCACGAGGTAAAACAGAAAGCCACTTTATGAATCATTGTACGTTCATCATAACTGTCAAACAAAGATATAACAATATATGATGTATCACACAGGCACTACTGCGAATGTCTTTTTAGCGTTTTTCGCTGTAAATTGTATTGTCATTTGTAGTTGTTACTTGCAAAAAAAAACATACATTTGATAGTATTTTAAAGTAAAATTACATGTGATGTTACACGATTTACAATTATGTACTTTATAGTTTCGGCTTAACTTACTGTGCAGTTCACAGGATTATACTGTAACATTTTTACAGTCTTCAAGAACTTACGTGTTTATTTGCATCCATAGTTATCTGAATGTTTTTTCAGCACAAATAATTAACAAAACATTAAAATTGCTCCAATCAACAATGGGCTCACCTATATCGTTTCATTTTTTTATTTTTTTTATGATGATATTCTGAAATTTATGGCATAATAAAAAAAGGGACAAAAATTTCTTAGTTTTTTTTAAATTCCTTTCAGAACCTGCATTTCAATTTACAGTACACAAAAGCAAATAGACTAAATGTTAGCCTAACTTCTTCTGAAACATGCTATTGGCTAAATCTGTTTCTCTTAAGTAAACCCTCTCAGTCGTCATTTTTTAAAGAGCTTTCATCGGATTTAGCGTCTGTCTATTTTCTCCTGCTCTTAAATGTGGCGTCTCATCGTATTTATCCTATAATTACAGCTGAGCGCAGGTTCCAAAACCCATCACGACACTAACAAAGTTTTATTCTCGTTCCCGCAAACAACCATAATTACAACATTGCCATTCAAGCAGAATTCGGATATTGATAATGCATGTATGTAAGCCTGCATAATTAAAACTCACAAAAAAACAGTAGAGCGGCTGAATGAACGTGTGGCCTGACCCGCTGAACCCTCTGCAGTGCAGTTGCAGTAGAAGTGCGCAGTAAGTCAAGGACAGTGTCGGCTGTCCCCAAATAGAAGACTTGACTTGGGTACAGCCATGTCATTTTGTGATGCTTGTCTCCATGCCTCAAGCCAGCAGCTGCCATAAATAAACAGTGTTGAGAGCCACTGGCTTACACCCAACCACGTCTACACTGGAGGGGAACAGAAAGACTACTAGACAGAATCTGGTTCTGCGCTGGAGGCATTGACCCTCTCCTTAACCCCATTCATTTAAGTGCTTAACTAAAATGGCTGAGAAATGCTCAGTAAAAGCAAAAGGGAAAAAAAAGCATATACATAAGGAAATCCAAAAATGCTATTCATCTATTCTATATTTCATAAAAGGCCCTGGTCTCTAACAAAACAAAGAAATGCAAAGACCACAGTACACCATATTTACAAATATACTGCAATTTGAAATGTTTGAAAAGACAATGTCTTGTTTTACATTCTCATTCATCATAAAGAGGAACATGTTTTCTGTGTGTAAACTGTCTTGGGCGCTATCTCAATCCCCAACACCCTTATCCAACCTATAATTGCCTCACTCATTGAGAAAGACACACCCAGACCAGGCACAAACACACATGAGTGCTTTTCAGCAGAGAGGGATCTTCATACAGGAAAACTAAAAACAAAAGTAATATTTGTGTGTTTGAATTTTGAATGTGCAGTCTGGATTGGATATGATGCAATACAAAGACCAAGTACCATGACAAAACGGAAGGAAATTTCTAGCTTTTCTTCACGGACTCCATGCAAAAACATACAACACAACCAGTGTTATCCGATTCACGAACAAATCACTCTTATGATTAGATTCTTCTTAGTGATTGAAAAACATAACCTAAGTAGTCTGACTCCTGAACGAATGACTCTTTTGAGTCATTTTTTTAAAGATGCATTGTCAGCTTAAATCAGTCTGATGATTCTTTGACTGAACTGAATCCAGTTACTGAACTGAATTAACATCTGATTGAATTAATGAATTAGAAGTTATCATTATTTTCAGTGATGATTTTTTTTATGTTTTTGGAAGTCTGTTATGCTCACCAAGGCAATCTGATCGAAAAAAAAAACTTTTCTATTTGAACATACTGTATTATATGTATTTATTCAGCATACTCTTAATGCAACATATTCTGTAGAAACTGTTTCTCATATCCTCATAGCCCCAAAGCTTTATATGATGTATACAGTATTTATAAACACCCAAAAATACATCTGTGCACATTTACACATATACAGGGTTCAAATGTAATCTGACTACATCCGCTCAATAGTTCAAGCAAAGTGGAACACAGATGGAGAAAGGATGAAGTGGTAAACAGCCCTTGTGTGTGTTGCACAATGCAGAAAAAACAAGCAGACTGTGGGAGAAACCTTTGCTTTATTAGTTCTGCCCATTTTTCCAAAGAGTTCAGTATGTTTTGTTACTCCATCTGAGTATCTGAGACTTAGATTTAAATAATACACCAAAAGGAATATTTTGGACTTTTTCAACAACCATTCAAGAATGCATTGGAGATCATAGTCAAATTTGTAAAAAAAAAAAATATATATATAATAATAAAATAAAAAAATGTACAAAAATGTTTTTGTTCCTTTTTTGTCATTTATATTTTAAAAATGATTACAAAATATTTGTAAACATGGAAATAACAGAAATGACTGCAAACATAGCAATCCATGCAGGCTTATACAGAGCAAATCAAATATTTCTAAGCTGTGAAGCTAATAAAAAAATGGAGTATGGCGTATGTTTTCGTGAGTGCTATTATGTGGTGACGTGCATGTGCTCTTTTAGCATAGATGTGTTGATAAGGACATTAAGTGATGAATGCAGTCTAGAAGTTTTCAAACTGACAATCAAAGTCTGTCATTCGGCACAAGATATACTTCCACTGCCGATCCCTGCAAAGCATTAAAAAACAGACAGTAATCTCCCACCAAAGGAAAACAATATTTAGCCATTAACAGCAACTAAAATGATAACATTATCTGTCTGTAACAAAACAGATGTTATTTTGACATAAATGCATTAGAGGCAAAACCTTTAAGTGCAAAGGATGAGGAAGTATTCATACAGACCTCAGTACACCACTGAACGTAGTTTGAGCCCCCCTTATGAAGTAGCCGTAACTGGGGACTACCATCTCCCCCTCTTCTTTGAGGTACTCTGGAACATCATTCGTCTTCCTGTGCATAATTCATGAAAATGCAATCAAAGGAAAGGTTATAAATTATGTGACAAAACATCCTATTGTACAGTTTTAATCTAATTATCAGAGGACACATAATCCTAATATCTGTGAATAACTCGGGATGTATAGAGGTTGTTTAGTAACTGTATGAATATATTAGATTACCATTTGTTATTCCAAGACTCACCAGCAGGAATATGGGCACCTGCGGGCATATCGACAGCAGTAGAATTGCCATTCTCGATCCAGAACTGCTTCAAAATACTTACTTTGCACACCAGCAACCAGCCCATTGTTAGTGCAAACTGAGGACCTGTAGACAGTAGAAATATGGCTTTTATATTGAGCGAAGAGGCTAAACAATATACATTTGTTATTTGTTAAATGAATATGAATCCTTCAAAATAAAGCATTGGAATATTGTATTCCGAGGTCTCACAAGTGGCATGTGCTGTGACTGCCTTTAGCTATTGACCTTTTATTGTGTGCATCTTCCTGTTTATACTGAAGGGCTGACTAAAACAGCAAGAGGAACGCTTGCCTGACAAACATGTATGAACACAGCATTCGTTCTGTCCTTTTTGTCTGGCACCATTAGTTCCATTTTGCCACTACATAGCTTTAAAGGAAGAGTTTAAAATTAATCTTTTGGATTTTTCACAAGTTGATTGCAGGTTGTGCAGATATTCAGAAAAACAGCACAATTGTGAGTGAGATATGAACAGCATAGTGCTATTGTGAGTGCTACTGAACAGCAGTTAAATAAAAAAGAAATTAATGTTGAGTAACTTAGATTTTAGACACAATATTGCCAGTTATTTTATCTGTCTTTGCTTTACTAATGAATATAGTTTCAAGAAAAGCCGCAGTAGTCCTCAAGCAACAGATTGTAGTAGGGTTTTGTTTTTTTGTTTGAACCATTGTTTTTGAATGAATCGGTTGAGTGAATGATTCAATGACTCATTCGTATAGACAATTGATTGGTTTGATTCCAGAAAGCGTTAGCATTGTTAAACAAAAAGATTATGAAGTGACTGAATGATTAAATGTGAAGTAAATGATTCAATATATGAATATTGAGTAACATCGTTCAGTGACTCACTCATGGCGAAACCATGTAACCTGAAGGAATGCATGGAGTGATACAGTGAACATCCCGTTGGGATCCTGTACCAAGACCCCATGTAAGAACTGGAACTAACTGTCATTTGCATCACCCACAATAGTTTTAGAATATTTAACCCATGTAATTAAACTTAAGGCTTTCTGATTGTTTATGGCCCATACAGTCTGTTGTCATCACAACAGGCAGACAATCGTGAGTTCTGCACTGCTCCCCAGCCACCAGCATTGCCAGACTTTTGTCATAGCAACAATAACGCTATGGGCAACTATTCCACCAATAGGAAGTAGGCCAGGGTCTTTTCCCAGTGGAATGTCATCTATGCCGTAGTGCAAATCAGAGAGACCGTTCTTATAATGTGAAGAGGGAAAGAAGACCATCTTAAAATACAGCCATTGATTTAGGTGGGGCATATATTCAAATTAAGCAATCATTTAAACAACTGATTTTTCAGCAAGGTGAGTGTCTAAATGCAAAGAGCACATTCTTCCGATATGGCAGATATATTCTAAATATATCTGGTAAACAGCACAGCTATATTTTGATATGCCAAGTACATTATATATATATGTATATATATATATATATATATATATGCCCCCTGAAGTACATTTTATATATATACAAAGAAAATACATTTTGGATTTTGGGAAAATGCTATTTTCTAAAAAAAAACAAAAAGCATATAAATATATTTACAGTGGAAAATCTATTTAAAAATGGGGTAACACTTTAGTTTAGGGACCAATACTCACTATATGCATGCATGTTTCTAGCATATTGGCTGTTTATTAGCACTTATAAAGAACATATTAATGCCTTATTCTGCATGATCATATT